CTAGTTACCTGAGGGAATCAAGCATCCCAATGGCTGCTCACTGGTTTTCTATCTTTGGAGGCAGCCAACTCCTGTTAATTTGTTATTGACCTTTCCCTGAATCTCAATCTATGATTCATAGGTAGGTTGAGCATATATCCTGGTTTGTTCAGGAAAGTCTTATTTTGGATGAAATTTTATAGTAGAGACTGCCCTTAACGGATTCAAATTATTTTAAAATATAAGTCCTTCCCTCCATTTTACTAGCAAATATTTGTCAGTTCCACCTCTGAATCTTGAGAGATACCATATGGCTTGATTTTGGGTCATTTTCCATCATCACATAAAAGAATGTCACCAGGTATTACAGTGTGCGCCATAAGTAAGAATGACCTTACCAAGAAATCCACTACCATGCAAAACTCAGCAATGCTAGTAATTCCTATGACGCCCTTGTGCACAAATGGAGTTGGGATTCTTTCAATTTAAATCAAAACTGCCTTGAAAATGAACACACTATCCTGCCATTTATTTACAAGTAACGTTTTCAGCTCCAGTCTTACTGGTTTATTTCGTGATCTCTACTTTGGTTAGCAATACATAGTGATAGAGAGTTACAACTGTAACTTGACCTAAAAATTTCAAACAACTGGACTTTTTGCCTGGCAGGCACACCCCAAGACCCGCTGTGACTCATTTCACCTTCCCTCCAAGAAGGCAGAATGAACTAAGCCCAGGTTCCCTCTCTTTGGTAGCATTCCAAGAAGCCAATGTTTTCTCCTCAGTCCTTTACAGTTTGTAAATATGTGTTCTTGGCACAGGAACGCTATTGGCATCTGCTTGGGAACTATTTCTGGGAAATAAAGAGAGAAAAGACATCTGTTGTGAAAGGTAAGCCACAGGTACAGTTTGGATGTAGCTGTCAGAGAATAAACGGTTTTGCAATGTGCTTTTTGACCCTTTGGAGGTAGGGCTTTCTCTGGTCAGCAAGAGTCTGCTGTCCTGCAGCTGTGGGGAAGGACATCAAGGTCTCCAGGCTGTGGTTGCAGGGTAAACAGGCTGTTCACTCTGAACAGCATAAGGGTGCTGTAGGCCGATCTCTGAGCTACAGGCCTGGGAAAGGGGCTGGTCATAAGTACCTCCTTTCACTCAGCTCCTCCACACTTGGGATCTTCTTTTCCTGGAAGGCCCTTAAAGCTAACCTGCTCTTACCAGCTCCTTTGCCCCCGTCCCTCATTTCCTAAGTCAAAAAGTCTTTTCTGAGACTTAGGAGAAGGCTTAGCAAAGCCACCTTTAGTCTGATGTGGGAGTGTTTGATGACAGACTGGTCTGCAGAAGGGATTCTGTGTATGGGGTGAAAGGAAACAAAAGGCATCACATGCGTCGCTCACAGAAGAGGGTGGTGATCTTCCCCTGCAGCCCCTAACCTCGCCTGCACCACATCCACACTCACGGGCATTCTTGGTCCCCCTGACCGACTGTGCCATTGGGGTACAGGCGGATTGGTCCATGCCAAAAGCTGCTGAAGACAGTAGTTTAACTCTGCCCTCTTGAGACTCCAAAGCCTATTTCCACTAATTCCTCTGAACCCACTCAGAGGATGGCTACTGAAATTTAATTAAAGGTTTAATTTGATAGGATATTTAACACCTTAATAGAATATTTAATAATATTTCTATTACTTATATTCTAAATGTAACAGGAAGAAGAAAAGATGCACAGGAAGAAAACTGGGGCAATAGTGCTCTGTTCTGTTGTTTAACAGCATACTCTTTTTTATTTTTTTTTAATTTTAGTTTGAAAGTATACAATAGAACAAGTCAGAATAAAGCCAACTAAGATCGTACAGTGAAATTGGTACAGAACTTCACAGCAGGTTACCAGGATAACAGTAATAGGTATCACAGTATGTTTTGTTATCTTTATAATAGGTGTTTTTTCAATCACATATATCAAAATGAGATGAAATATAGAATACTATAGAACTTATCAAAACAGAATATTAAGCAGTGCCATTAATCAGAAAAGAGCAAAACAGTAATAAAAATATTTGCCTTCAAAGAAATGGTAGAAGGAAGTCCCCCTTATTTGCTATGGTCAACCTTCCAGGAGACGCTCAGATTTCTGGTTCCCATTTGCTAATGGGCAGTGTGTGGTTGGGAGGAGGATAGGGGAAGTGGGATATTTGACTATAGGTCATGTAGCAGTAGGTTCACTGTTGCTTAGCAGGGAGGCAGGATGGTGGTTTGTTTTCACAGCGTCCTCAGTTCCACATGGAACTCCCCCTGGAAGGGCTGCAGTTGGCCAGACCACCACCGCTTACCAGGGAGGGTAGGGGCTTGCTTGGCTACCCAGGGTCCTAAGTTCCAACATGGCCCATATCTCAGGAGCTGCTGCTGGTTCTCCCCCTGGAAGGGCTGCAGTCTGCCAGACCACCACCACTTACCAGGGAGGGGAGGTGCTTGCTTGCCTTCCCAGAGTCCCAAGTTCCAACATGGCGTGGATCTCAGGAGACACTAACAGTATACTCTTATGTTGATATTTGAGCTGACTTTTTCCGTGCAATAGGATTTTAATGGTTTTATTTAAATACAAGAGACATAAAATGAAGTTGCACGTGTTTATTGCATATAATTTGACATGCATATAGCTGTGGTACCATCTGCATAGTCAGTAAAAGAAAAAGACATAATCTAGACCTCCAAGTCTACATTCATTCTGTTTGTGTAGATGTCGTCTGCTTGTTAGCAAATCTTGAAGAGCACCATACTGTACTGTTAACTCTTAGTTTGCTTTTGCACAGGAGATCACTAGAACTTTTCCACCTTGCATAACTGAGTTTACACCCACAGAAAATAACCTCTTTCCTCCTTTCCCCTGGCAGTCATGGCTCTAGTCTCTGCTTCTGAGAGCTTATTTTGGACTCTGCATATGCAGAGGGTCATGTAGTATTTGTCTTTCTATGACTGGTGTATTTCACTTAGCATAATGTCCTCCATGTTTTAATGGTTCCTTCATAGATCCAAACTCCTAGGTGCGTTTTTGCAGGTGGCCACAGAGAGGTGTCCAAGAGCAACAGGCCTGCTTTCTCAGGGAGGTTGAAGAACATGGGAAGCGCTCTCAGTCCTCTGCATGCTCTGTGTTGATGGACTCTTGAATGAGATTGCATAAATATCTCCACAGCTTCCATCAGAAACACTGAAGATTGAGAAATCAAATGCTGATCTCTTAGTGCTGCTAAATTCTGATGGCCCTGTAGTTCCCTGGGGATGGCATGGCATGCCCTGGGCTCTGGGGCTAAAGGTGAGGGTCAGCTAGGACAGCTGCAGATTCAGAAAGAACAAATCCCTCAGGATGCAGGGAGACAGAAGAGACTGCCTGTCAACTCTGCTTGCCTTTGGGCCGACAGATCTGCTGCTGCTTCCCAAAGAAACTAACTTCCAAGAAAATCTCCTGATTGGCCTATTGGCTGTGAAGGGTTAAACATAATAAAATATGTTACACATGTGTGTGTGTGTGCATATGTATGAGAGGAAGGAAAAGGCAGGAGACTCCAGGACCTCCTTGCCTCTCCCTTATGTAAGACATGGCCCATAAATACTTTTTAAAAGTCCTTTAAGAAATCAGTTCTTCCTAAGCCCATGGTGTGTGTGTGTGTGTGTGTGTGTGTGTGTGTGTGTGTGTGTGTAAGAACACAGACAGGGAAGAAAGCAAATGGTGACTCCAATATTTAGGTACCAGGAACAGGAAAGGATTATCAAAGCTATAAATGACCTTGGGGAAATGATCAGTTTGGGTTTTGCTAGTGCTGAGCAAAACATCCATGCTGAGGAATCCATCTTCTTCATCACAGGACATGTAGTGGAGCCAAGGTTTCCGCAGACTTGGGGAGAAGAAGATATGACAGTGCAGACCTGGGTCAGCTCCCCTGGGTTACCCCCGGCAGCAGGCAGCTGCTAGTGCACTGCCTGCAGAGGAGGAAGATAACACGCTTTTCTGTTGTTGGACAGAAGCTTGCTTCCAGATTGGCCTCAGGTCAGCCAACAGCCCTCTGCCTGGCCCGCCTGTCCATGGGCCCAGGACCTAACTCCTTTGGTTCATCCACTGCATCATGTTCAATATTGCCGCCTTACATGGAGTTTACATGTATTGTGCGAGGTTGGTGTATGTATATAACACATCTCAATTAGTTTTTCAATCCCTTTCCTCTATTTCTTGTCCCCTTTCCTTTAGCAAAAAAAATTATTTATCTGCTTCCTATGATCTATCTTTTATTTTGCTCTTAATTTATTTGTAGTTTGGGTATCTCATATAGGAGAATCTATGTGATATTTAAGTTTGTGTCTCTGATTCACTGTGTATACCATAGGCAACAGTCCTAAAATTCATATGGAATCAGGAGAAACCCAGAACATCACTGTTTTAGCCTGTGCTTTTCTGGCTGTCTGGGCAGAGTGGTCCACGGCCACCTGCTGCCCATGCTCTGATTTCTTTCTCTTCAGAACCTTTGCCCCTCTTGGAATTTTCTTGTTGTTTTCCTCTTCTCTAGTTCCCCCTTCCCTAGAATTTAAGCTCAATGAAAGAGCAGCTCTATCTGCCTTTCTTATCTGTCTCATTTGCTCCTGGAACACACCCTTCAATGACAGGAACTCGACAGATTCTTGTGGCACGTTGAAGGCAGATATTCTGTTTCTTTGCATCATACATCCAAAGTGCTCTAGACTTAACTTTTAGAGAGAAAGTGGCAGCTACTGAAAACGCAAAGCAACAGAAAAAACACCTGAATAAAAGAGCATGCTTAAAATGGGGCTTGTGCTTTACATTTCTGCTAAAGAGACATAATTAAAGTGTTTTGCTCTTTGCATGGACCTCTGACAGCAAAATTAGCCTAGTGTAGAAAAGTACATAATAGGAAGTAAGAGTGAGCTTTCAAATGTTGCTTATTTCTCTTGAACTGCACAGTTTAGTTTGGATTTATGAGTGACAAGAAGCACATACTTTTTTCCTGAAGTGTTCAAAATTGATAAATGTCAGTTTAAGTGCTTCAGACACACAAAGCCTTAAAGCACACAGTTTATGTAACAAGTGTTTACCAGACACTTCCCTAAGCACTGAGGTGACTAACAAGAGAAAGCCTTTTTTCTCCTTTGCTCGAGGAGCTGTGGGACAGTTAATCTTGATTGTCAACTTGATTAGATTGTGAAATACCTATAAATTTAGTAGCACTCACTTTTAGGTGTGTATTTGCAGGTGTTTTCCAGGATGATTGGCATGTTGGACAGCAAACCAAGGGCAGAAACCTACCTTGAACACAGGTAGTACCAATCAGTAGAGAGGGAGGGCCTGGGCGGAGCAATGGCAGAAGGGGAAGAAAGCCAGCCAACACCTACTCTCTTGTTCTGTTTCTTGGCTGCCAGGAGGAGGGCAGCTTTCCACTTCCATGCCTTCCTGTCATGACATTTATATCTGGGAGCCAGCCAAGCATGGACTGAAACCTCTGAAACTGTGCACCAAAATAAATCTTTCCTCCTTTAAGTTGTCACTCTCATATACTTCATCACAATGAAAAGCTAACACCAGTTCTCAGTCTAGAGGGTAAAAGAGGTTAGCAGAGTCCACACTACACAGCATGACAAGGGGTATCTTCACAGGCTTTGTAAAAGCACAGGGATGTCCTTGGTGGCTGTGAAATAAAGAAAAGCTGAGAAGCCTTTGGTGATCTTTAAAGTTATGCCTACTAGGATTAAAAAAAGCTGGCAGATAAATAAGAAATAGGCAAAAATGGAACTTAGCAATGGACTCCTAGCAAGTCCATCGAGTTAATTATCTACTGATCACTGGAGCATTTTCTGGGTCAGAACCTCCCACCCCCAGGACCTGGGCTCATAGCTCATGTGGTGCCGGGTCCCTGAAGGTGTCCCAGTGCTTCTAGGATTCACCCAACTCACTTTGACACTCTCAGAAGCCATAACTTGCTTTATTTAACTTCACTGGCAGGCAGACATCCTGATCAAACTCTCAGAGGAGACTGAAGTGGAAGAGGGTCTGTCAGGCAACCCCAAGCCACCTCTCACTCCTGGGAATTGACTCCAAATCCTTGGAAAATGCATCCTGTCACTGCCTTCTATTGGAACAGATACCATCCTTTTTCAAAAGTGAGTCATCTCTCTGTGTTCTACATATAATTTCTTGGATTGGGCCCAAGCCCTACTGAGAAGGTGGGATGATTTGATTTGTGACAGCAGAGAAATAGGCTTTCAGTTAGTTTCTGAGCCAGAAGCATCTCATAACTCCCCAATCGATGGTGATGAGAAGTGCAGTCCATGCCAAATGCCCTGTGTCACATTGAGTTAGGGCATCAAACACAAAGAGAATGTTAATAGTCTTTGCACACTAAGAAATTTGCACCTTCCTTGCTCAGGAAAGCGTGAGAGTGAATTTTCCAAATGTTTAGCCTCTTCCTTGTTCCAGCTTCTTTGCTCATGCCTGGCCTTTGGGGCTGGGGATTTAGCTCAGCAGCATAAGCGCCTGCCTGGAAAGCACAAGGTCATGAGTTCGATCCCTAGTACTGGAAAAAAAAATCTGGCCTCTCTCTGGACTCACTCTTCTTGTCACTCTGGTTTTGGTTCAAGCAGTTGCAGGGAGAATGCTGTCATTAGAAGTAGATGTCACAGTTGTTCTCAGGCATAGATTTACTCTCTGGTGGCCTCTGTAGCTCTTCCTAGTAGTACTTGGTCAGAGGTTGTGCAAGGCCACCCGTAACCCTGTAGAGATGTTGTAACCAGTCTGTTCTTTGAGACCTTGTGACACTGCCCCAGTCACAAACCCAGCAGTCAGTACACTCTGCTTTGGTGAAGTCCTTGCATGACCTTTTGGTTATAATGAATCCCATAACCCAGTGGAGTGCCAAGCTCTCACTTTGGCAATGTCAGCTAAAAGCCAATGTATCATACCTACTTAAGACAGAAGGCATGAAAATGCCTGACCCAACAAGGAGACAATGTCAGTGAATCCAGTGAGGATTTAAATACACCACCAATCTTATTAGGAAGAGATTACAGAAATTCATTCATGGCACTAAAGCTTTTTAAATCAATGTTATAGGAAGTAACTTCCATGGATCTTGCCAAAGACAGATATATGGGCTAGAATTTTGTTATTAAGTACCATCTAGGAATGTCCTTATGACTAAAGGGCCCCAGAATATTAAGTATTTTTCTACTTAGAGTGAACTATTATACTTACCTAGATAGAAATGAGGATAACCGCAGCAAAAGAGGAAAGGGAATACAGTACTCTATTTTTTTCACTGCTGAAACAAAATGTCCAATGCCCAAAGTTAATGTAGGAAAGGATTATTTAACTCACAGTTTGTGGAAGTGTCAGTCCATAATCTGTTGGCTCCAAGACAAGGTGGCATGGCAGAGGGGCAACTGCTCATGGCAGCAGAAGTCAGCAAAAGCAGTAAAAGAGAGAAGACAAGCCTCTTTCTGTCCTTTCTATTATACTCAGGCTACCTACCCTAGGGTGAGTGTAGCATTCACTCCTTTTCCTAGTTAGAACTAAGCCAAAACAATCAATGGAATGATGCACTAATCACACAGCCTTAATCCCAGCATCCTTAATTATCCTAGCATTGCACCGTGAAGCAATTACACACTCTAGACCACATGAAGCTTTGTGAGGACACCTAGACACAAGCCATAACATACTTCCTCTGCTGCCAACACATGGTAGCACTAATGTGGGTTTAGTACCAGGAAGTCTACTGATAGGCATGATCTCATGTAATTACTACAGAAAAGCACACAGAGGAGACATCATTATAGTTTACATTTTATAGATGAAACAAGTCAAGCTTTAACGTGGTTCTATAGCCAACCCATAGTCACACAGTTGCTAAATTACAGATCCGCTCCTAACAGGCTTTATGATTCCAAAGACCTTGCTCTCTGACATGATCTTAACAAGAAGCAGCTTTGAGAAGTGCAGGCCTCTGCTCTCATTCCTGCCAGCATTTCCCAGGCTTTGCTGTGACCTCTGCTTGGGACTGGGCACTTGCAGCTCTCCTTTCTCTGCTGATGGATGCATCCTATATGTAACACATGGCCTTTCCTAAAATACAAGCCATGCGCAAAACAAATGCCATCAAACAAATGCCAAACCAAGATAGGATCTTTAATTTCACCCTTAAGAAATTCCTCCTGAAAGAATGATAAATTGCACTGCTTGGTGTAATGCTAAATTTCATCCCTCTAGCTATGCAGTCTCATGAGCCAGGCCACCCTCTCTGTAAAATGTAGTGAGGTTTACTAGAAACTGAGCCCTTGTGGGGATTTCTTTTTACTACTACTTTAGAGCATCTGGTAGCTATTTATTTTTTACCTGTGAGTGACAGAAACCACACTCCTCAGTCGTAGCCTCAGGAGCCAAAAGTTGGCCTTAAATTGGGCCCAAATACTTTTTTTCCAATTTGCTTGGGAACTCACTCAGTTTCCTGTGGCTTCTGGTTTTGTTCTGCCTGCTTTGTGCACATTGAGGTTGACCAGATGCTCCCGAAGGAGCCTCATCCATTTATATTAAATGATTAAGGACTTTCATTCTGTGGCAGACAGTTTTTAACTTTGTCATCCAGAGGTTGGCATGGTAGGTATGAGTGCCTGGTAAAACTGAGAAGGAGAGGGAGAAGAAAGAACATAATGCCTTCTCATAGCATTTATTATGAAATATTGTTATAATTATTCTATTTATTATTAGTTATTAAAGAGTAATTTAAATTGCCTGTACTATAAACTTGTACTAATTTTTAAAAAGATTGTCATTCTCTTACTGTACCTCATTTATAAATTGTCATAATCTGTATGTAAAAGAAAAATCACAGTATCTACAGGGTCCTGTACCATCTGAGATTTCAAGCCCCCACTGAGAAGCTTAGAATACATCCCTCCTCCATGGGGACAATGCTATTATTCCTTCTGCTATTATTTGAGTTTTTTTTGTATGGTTTGCTTTCCAGGGAAGGTGCCTGAAGCAGAAGGACTGGAATCCTTCACTGTTCCCCTTGGGCTTCTAGTGATTTAAGGCGAGGTTAGGAGCCCTGATCCTGAGACCAGACTGCTGCCACTCAGAGGGTCAGGGCTGCTGCTCACTACACTGCTGACGCCTGGCTGTCCCTTAACCTCCTACCATCCCCAATGTGAAGAAAATGAAGATTCCTTTGATGAGGAATAAATTCATGAATATGCAAAGCACTAGGAGCCAGACGGGCCCATAGGAAGAATTATTTTACTACTGGTGTTATGATTTACCAGGCAATGGCAAAACATAGGGGCCTGTCTGAAGGAAAAACTCTTCCTTCATCTGCTGCATAAACATTTATGTTAACTAGTTTTTGCTAAGCATAGCAGGTAGGGAAGGAACCCAATCAAGGCAGGAATGGTACAGTTTAAAGTTGTCCTGCCTTTGACATCAAACATAAGTGTCATGTCCCTGTGGGTGTCTGAAACTGCAGATAGTAGCAAATCCTATAGAGACTGTTACTCTCTGTGTCATACATAAGGTATTAACAATAAGAAATAATAGTAAAATAGAACAATTTAAACAATATACTTAAAAGTCCTGTGCATGTGGTCTCTCTCCAGAAGGAGTTAAGCCAAAGGTTGATATTTGGATTGTAGGTGACTATAGGTAACCAAAATATGGAAGTGAAACCGAGGAAAGGGAGGAACTGTTGTAGTTGTCAATTACACTTCTGGTATGTAACGAGGGAGGAGTCAAGGGCTGTGATGGAGGATAAGGCGTGGAGTCTGCCTAACTTGGGAATGGAGAGAAAGGCTGAGTTGGAGTCAGGAAACCAGTTAGCACATCAGAGTTGGCGACACTCCAGGCTCCAAGGCCCACAGAGCCTGCCTGGATCCACCAACTCTTCCTTTCACGTCTGCTCCAGCAGCGCTCAGGCCCTGAGGAGATCAGCCACTGTGACTAGAGGGAGACGGTACCCAGGACATCACTATCAGATGTTCCCAGTGGACATCCCAAAGGATGCAGCACTTAACTTCCCCTGGGCATCGCTGGCTGTAGAAGGTACAGGTCAGAGTGCTTAGCATGAAGAAGACATGGCACAGACCGACTGAAGCCCCTGGGGTAATCTGGGAATGCTAGAGATGTGTTCTGGGAGGTGCCAATGGGTAAGGGCCTGCCTTCCCAGGTGAAGACGCAGAGTTGCCATCTTTGAATGTTGGTGCCGCCGGTGTGTCCTCATTTGTACTCAAAGAATGGCGATATCTGGACCACTTAGATTATCCAAACAAATGAGCAGTCCATGGTTTTTTCTGTTGACTTTGGTCATTTATAGTAGAGCTTCAATTTCTTCTCTCCTACTCTAAGCATTTCAGAGAGTTAAACTACAAACTTGTTTCTTGGATTCATTCCTCATGTTTTTTAAACTGGGAGTGTGCAGTATCTGATAATTATCTTTTTTGCCCTCTTGGGATATTATTAAGAATTGATCTTTGCATTCTTTCCCTTTTAGCATGCAGTTTCCCACTTAAAATTATTATGTTATTGCATATTTCTTGAGTAAGATTCATTTAAAATCTCTTTAGCCTCTGGGAATATGAGACTTCTTTGGTATTTCTGTATCTTTATATGAACAAGATGTCAATTTCTTGATTTCATTAAATCACTAGGAATGGATGCCTTGTGAGTAATAATGGAGATCTGGTCTTCTTTAAAAAGAAAAGACAGAGAGCTGTGAGAACCAGAAATTATTCCTACACCATTTTCCTTGAGACTTCTAACTTCTTCCATGTTTGATGCTTGCCAGATCTTCTCTCCAAAAATGTGGTTTGTCTAAGAGGACTGGGCTGATGACGTCAGCTTGGGAGATGAAACTACACGGTAGAAGTCAGCTTTTTCCCCCTCTCAATTTCACTGGCAAAAGTATGTGTATTATGTATTAGATATAATAATGTTATGCACAATATATATTATTTCAGGGACAATCCTTCCATTTTGTTAGCTCATATCAAATAGCATGCTGTGTAATAAAATAGTCTATGATATTATATATGTAATATACAGCAAATACTTCACCATATAAATTATTTCTATATACAATATATGTAAATTTACTACCTAGTATATTCACTACAAGTTATGCTGATACATAAGATTGACCTATGGTAGAATTAAAATTTTAATGAACATACATATAATATCTGCTATATAATAAATAAAATGGAAGATTTCTTTTCTGAAAGAAAAAATTCGAACCACTAGGCAGATATTCTAAATGAATTAGTATTTTTTCACTTGCTCTTTAAACAAAGTGTTATAAGCACAAACTTCGGAGATACTCCCAAGTTTCATTTTACATAAGCTGGTCCTGCCACCATCTGGGAACCTGTTCTCCCAGCGTCCTCTCTCCCTCCTCAGCTGTTTCTGCCCCTGGCAGTGTTCCTAGAGGGGATGTGCTGCCCTAGTGAAGCCAAAGCTTTAGGGTGAACCACAACTGCCACAAGTGATGATTCAGATGCAGTCTTTCAAGGTCAGTTTCAAGTTTGCTTTCTGCATGGACACTGCGTCTGGGTGAGGGCCTGCTCCCTTTCACAGTCTTCTGATTGGTTTTATTTTTCCTAGGGAACCTGGGATTGGTGAGTTTTTGAAGAGGAACAAATTAACATCCTGAATACTTTTCCTCACAGTACTCCTTACACTTGTTAATGCAAGAATTACTTTGAGTGAATGGTGGAAGACAATGAAAAAATTTGCTGAGTAAGATCAGTTTTTTAAAAAGTTTCATCAGCAGGCCATCTACACACCACTTTGGTGGGAAAAAGAAAATAAAGAATTCTCTTCTGGGTCTCCTTCAAGCAGACAAGCCACAGTCTAGGAAATAGATCTTGGGAAGTAAAACCCCTTTTCCCTCTCTGAAGCATAAGTATAGAAATCTAGTCTCCTCTTTTACCTTCCTATCCTCTTCTACTTGGTTCTTGTCTTTCTCTGTACTCCGTCCTCCTCTCCTCTTCTTCCCACCCTTAGGTAGCCACACAATTCTAGACTTTCAATTACATTTCAATTTCAGAACAATGGTAAATAAGTTTTTCATTCAAGTAACCAAATGTGACATGGCCCTTACTTATACTAGAAGCTATTTGCTGTTTATCTGAAATTAAATCAAATGAAGCATTTTATTTTTATCTGCTAACTCTGGTACCAATTTTTCAACTTCTTTTCAGTACCTCATAGGCTAAGGAAACACATGAAATTGTATGGAAACTCTTCAGGTTTTGGTCCTATCATCAAAGCTCCAAGCCTACACCATCCTTAAAAGTTTCTAAGATAGAAAGTACACATTTTAAATCAAATTGGGCTGCGAATCAGAGTTCGTCTCTTCTTAACATTAGGGCTGCAGTACTCACACAATGTTGGATATTCTTTCATGCTTAACGAAGAATTGTGGTCGTGCTGGAAAAGAAGCAAGATAGTAGCAACTGTCCTACAGAGCACCCTGTGGTACTCACTGTAGAGAAACAGTAAAAGAAATTGAACAAAGGGACTGTTCCTTTGCCACTGACAGCCCCCAAAGACTTTCTAAATTCACCCACGTAAGAATTCCTGCAAGAGACCGCCTTCAGTTAGGTGGTTAGGTAGTTTGTTTGCTTTTTCTTTTTCTCTTTCCCATTGAATCACAGCCTTGTCTTAAAATGAGAAAAAACAAGGGTAGCTGGTTTTCATATTTATTATGTGGCTTTTAAAAAGACACATGTATTTAGAATGTAAAGTTGAACTTCAGCCATGGAGAGAATAGTATTTAAGTTTGTTGTCCAGCAGAGAGAGCAGAAAGGATACTTCCCTGTTGCCAGATGTTCACAGCACCGAGCTCAGCACTGCTATGAATCAGCTGTGTGATCTTTTAATGTACCCACTGGTATTTCTGATCCATAAAATGCACTTGGCATGAGATCTTGAAGTTTCCTATCCTGATTACAGTCCTTTGACTCCAAAATGATTTAGAAATATTAGAATCAGGCCCCCACTATGAAACTCTCCCTTCCCAGACTCTAGATTTACTGGTCCCCCACCCCCACCCCATCACATTCAGTGTCTTTCCCCTTTGCTCCATGTATTCAACAGCAGGGAAAAGTTCAGTGGAAAACCTTGAAATAGCAACAGCCAAGAAGTCGACCTGGAGCCATGGGACCCTGCAGCTGCCAAATTCTTGTCAACAAATCAGCAGTAGGACATGGGAAGGGACTGATGCTCTGTGCCTACAGTTCAGACCCATGACTTGTGCTATTATCTACCTCAGAAAACCTGAACAATGCAGAAGTTGCCGGAAAGCCCCCTAGAAAACTGAAATACCTGCTCCAAAAGAAAAAACACTCCCCCAGACTCAATCAACTACCATGTCTAGATTCAGATTTCCAGAAACCTCTGGTTTCTATGGCAACTCTGAAGGCTTCCCAAAAGAACTCTCAAATGGACAGCATCATTGTATGCTCTGAAATCAGCCAGGGTGCCACCAAAAATCTGCAAGGGGATAGAATCCTAGATGCTGGATATGGACTTTGGTGCCTACAGGCTCCAAGATTTGGAAAACCAGTGTCATATTCCACACTCCAGCCCTGGAGATCACAGTCCTAAACATGGAATAAATTACTCAGTAGAGAAACTCAAGAAGACCATCATGTGTTGGTTACTGGTCCCAAGAGCAGAAGTCCCATAGCAACCATTCCGAGCTTTCTCAATAATTGGACAAAAGCTCCTGAAAATAAAGGGAGTTCTAGATTTGTAGATGACAATTTGTACGTTTTCTTAATAAAGTTTAGTAGAAATCCCAATAGAAATAATTATTCCTTGAAATACAGGTTTACTTATTTGCCTTGAATTTGTCTTACTCTATTATTTTAAAACTTCCCTTATACAAACAACCATTGAAACACGTGGATTCGATGGAAGCCCTGGGTGGGACAGTATGAGAGCCAGAAGACAGCTCCCGGCCAAGGCTGCTGTGGTGATGACTCTTGGTAAGAATGTGAATCTAATGAAACTGTACAGCAATCCTTCAAAGCAATTGTAATACTTCTGTTTAACAGAGAGGAAAACCAAGACTGAGATGAGCAAGTGAGAACTTAGTACAAATATCACACTTCACACTTGAATCCATTATAAACCATATCCATATCCTCTCGACCAGTAACAAATTATTTGTATCTTTTTCTTAACAAATTACCAATGCAATGAGTTTAATTATTCTAGTAAAGTGGAAATCAATTTCATTTTTACTGAAATTCTCCATAAACTTTTTCATCTTGACAGCATAATCCAGATTAAAAAATTTCAACCGTCAAGAAAATTTTATGATCAAACTTCTAACAATGTTAGTTCTTTTTAAAAAAATATTCCATTAACAATTGAAATGCTTTGATATATTTCCACTGGAAATGCTGCCATAAATCTGAAAAGTAGAGGTGACTTGAAATTCAACCTTGTCCTTTGAGATGTCAAAGAAGGGTTGGCTAAATACTTAGGTCATACATGATATCACACCTCAAAGTCTTTTAGAAGACATTGGAAAATAAGACTAAGACAAAAATTAGGGTGCTACATAATCTGAATTCTCTTCACTGGGAACCCAAGTGTAAAGTAGAAAATTTCTCCTTATACCTGGTGAGGTAAATGAGTTAGGAGCAATATGGCTGTGCTGAAGTGGAAGAATGGGAAGGTTTTAAAGTGAAAACTTGAAATTGGACAAGTCTTTGGGAGCTGGAGTATACCTTGACCTGTAGTACTTCAAATTCATTAAGGCTACGAAGAGTCATTAACCCATACCATACATTTTCCAGACAGTAGCTTTATAAATACTGCTAACTACAACCTACAAGGAAAATGGAGAACAAATTACAAATGACAGGCAGAATTTATGTATTTATAGTGATTTGAGCACTGAGGTTGAAAACACTTAACATTCTTGGAAGAATTTCTATTGTATATAGAGTAACGTGGCCCCAGGTTTCAAGTTAATGTTACAAAACTATAATAATGAAAATAGCATGGTATTAGCATAAAAAACAAGCATGTGGATAAATAGAACAGAACTGACGATGCAGATATAACCTCAGGTACCTTCAGCCATCTAATTTTTATACGCTGAAGAAAAGGTAGCCTCTTTAACAAGTGATGTTGGGAAAAGCAGTTATCTACATGCAGAAGAACAAATCAGGACTCCTATCTCTCACCTTACACTAAAAATCAAATCGAATCAAAGACTTGATTTTTTTAAAAAACCAGAAACACTGAGTCTACTAGCAGATAAAATATGCAAAACTCTTGGAGACATAGGCATACGTAAGGACTTTCTGAACAGAACCCCTGTTGCACAAGAAATAATACCAAGAACAAAACAATCAACCAATAGGATCATATCACATTTAAAAAGCTTCTGCATGGCAAAGCTTCTGCGTGATCAACAGAGTGAAGAGACAGCTTATAGATTAGGGAGCATTTTTTGCCAGCTATTCCTTAAATAGAAGGTTAATATTTAGAAAGTATAAAGAACCCCCCCCCAAAAAAAATAGGTCTTGCAAACAAAAGACCCAATTGAAATGGGCAATTGAAACAAATATACATTTCTTAAAAGAATTAAAAATAACCAATGGATACATGAAAACATGTAAAGCATCTTTGACCGTTAAAGAAATAGAAATCAAAACAACAGTGAAAAAGAATGAGAAAAATTCAGAAAACAACAAATGCTGGTGAGGTTGTAGGGGAAAGGGACCTTTCTACATTGTTGGTAGGAATGTACACTAATGCAGCTCTTATGGACATCGGTATGGAGAATCTCCAAAGCACTAAAAATAGGAATTCTATTCAAGCCAACTGTGCCACTTTGGAGTATCTTCCTGAAAGATGTAAAGACATCATATGTTTATAGCAGTACAACTTACAATCACTGCCTCTATGTCCATCAACAGTGAATGGATAAAGAAAATGTGTATGAGACACAATAGTGTACCACTCAG